TTATGCAGTTTCCATATACTCAACATTAATGATGCCTCATTGTTATCTTCTCAGTTACAAGGAATAACAAAATCAACACATGCCGACATCAGAATTCATCAATACAAGGTTTATATCATAATACCAAAATTTCTTATCGTGTCGCAACTTATTCTAACACCTAGAATAAACCCAAACTAATCAGATTCGAAATTATACAACCCATCTTACTCTATCATCCTTATCAAACACACCATTACTCTCCAAAAAGTCTAGACTAGAGAATGTAATCTATACATAAAATAACTCCAAGGAGGTCAATCAACTATTAAATACTATAATAGAACATAAAAAACAACCTTCGAAGTATTATAAAGACGCCAGAAAATGGAAAAATTAGTTGGTATGAAGAAACCCTCATCAGCTATTTGACTAATCTTCCACCAATATTACATCACCCATAAGTCACATATGATCGTCACTTGCATAACCAACCTACAAGCAAGACACCTCTACTATCTGAGTCGATCTTTCCCTCAAAGCACAAGTCCTATCCCCTAATCCAAGAATCCTCAAAAGACAGTTCCTTAAATGTTTTGCTTATTGCTCTTTACAGAATTTTATCTTTGATTTGAGTTGTGCTCTACGAAAGCTAAGCAGACCTAGATATGAAATAGTCTGGAAAAGGTATATACGACTAACCATGTAACATTTAGAAATCCGTATACTATTATCGCAACATATAACCGAAGCTCTTCAAATATAGATTTTGAAAAAAAATATGTATAATCATAAATGACATAATCTCTGGGTCTATCCATCTTTTTTAATAGTAAATTATCATATTATGAGCCGTGCTGAATGATATGGAAAATATCCATATTAAAATCAGCATAATTCTAGAATGAAAACGAACTGATTAAAGAACGCGACTGTCAGCACTGGTCCATACCCTAACACAGTTCTTAATCGATAGTGCTCTGGCTTGGGTCTCTAACCCTCATAACCTCTAAATCTAAATACTGATGCTCACAGCATGAACATCTTGAGATATTCTAAGCGCGTGCAGAAATTACAATAAAAGAAAACAAAATAGTATGACCCCAACTACGATACATCAGATTCGCTTAAGACTAAGCGCTCGCTATCTGCCTAGCTTGGCACTAGACCCAGTACGTTGACCCGCATTGTTTCCCTTGCTATAACAGCAAAGTCACTTGATGCTTTCTTTACCACGTTGATTGCTCCCACACTGAAGATTGTTCAGATTCAGTAATAACTGTGATTGTAGAAGCAGTGGAAGCGAGCAATATAAGCAGTCACTTGTGTGAACCAACTGCGGCAGCCTAATAATAACACTATTCGACACAGACATAAACGACAACCAAATACAAATGCCTAACATGAATGATTGCTTTCACCATAATATTAGTGATATTAAATAAACAAACTCTCACCTATAACCATAGTGTTTGCAGTTTCAACTGCAAGTAGAGCAAAAAAACACATGTATCACTATACTCTTCTCGAATGAGAACATATACACAAGACCTGATTGTATGTCCCGTTAATAGGGTTTGGCATAGGGCCTCGGATCTGTGTACACAATTATTACAAGGAGATAACCTCTACAACATAATCAAAACTAGGACCCAATAAAAGCCCATCCACGCCAGTATAGTGACCAGAAAAAGTATCATCTAAAGTCGCAAGACTGTCTGTTGCCCTCACAAACCCAAAAACACACATCATAAAAAAATGAAACTACGACAGATTCAGAACTAAACAAATACAAAAGATCCTAAAAGAGAAAAATAAACATCCACTACAGCTCCCCATAAACTACTCAGTAAATTAATTGATCAGCTATTAATACCAGAGAATAATTAACTATGTAACGTTAATAATAAATAAAGCTTCATAATGCATTAAAAACATTCACTCTACTACCAGTAAAACATCTGAACTACACACTAATACATAAAACTAAATAACATTACTAAATAAAGAACCAGAAATACTACATTGTCATAAGATCTCTCTGTAAATATCTCTTCACCCCCCCAACCTATACACATTAATATACTTAAATCATAATATAAAAATAAATAATTATACATAATAAAGTACATAAAACATTATATAAATATAAAGACATATAAAAATTCATAATAAATAACTAACATAAAATAAAAAATTATAAAATACATATATATAAAAAGTATATAAAATCAAATATACAATATAACATAAACAACATAATTACATTAAGTACAAAACCACAGTATATCAAAACATATATTAATACATAATAATATAATGATTCTTACATTATATAATAAATTAAATTAATATTAATATATAAATACAATACATATATCCAATATACATAATCCAAATAACTATAACATAATATCATTAATATAATATTAATATTATAATATATACAATATTGAATGATCACATTATTATAATACCATTTATAATTATGATTATACATATATTAATATATAAATGTTACATTATATGAACATTACATTATATAATATTAATTATATATTATTAAATTATATAAATTAATTATATTGAATTACATTATATTAAATCACATTTATTATAATATAATTATATATAATACATATATGTTGGTGGACCTGCCTCAACTGCCCGCTGAGATAGCTTACTAACGTTAGCTAACATCAGTTGCTGCTAACCAAACGAAATACCGCGACAAAAATATAAAAGTTCAGGTATATATCTCAACAGTGCACTTGGTAATTCTTAAAACTAAATTATTGTGCTTAATTAGTCAAAAATGAGCGACAAACTAATGAACTTACATTCTAACTCGGCTGTGAGTTCAAGCAAGCAAACTTGGCTAGCAGGTCCGATGAACTCTCGAAGGAAACGTTGATAGTTCAGAAAGTACAACGCCTCTAGCGGCGGATTAACACAAACCCTGCCCACTTAACACCGTGTTTGTAGGCGAAATAAGGTGTTTCTGAGATTTCTATATTAGTGACTGTAACATAAAAGACAGTAGGGAGAAGATAAAATGCCTACCTAACCTGAAGATTGTGCAGCTGCTCCTGGAAGACAGCCGGGTCCAGCTCCTCCAGCTCACTGCCGGACACAACGGAACACAACGGCTTTAAACGGACATGAGGGCGAGGGAACGCACTCACACTCTCGTGCACACACCACAGAACACAACCACACTCGATTTACAACTGTAACGACGGTTACATTTAAATTACTGCCGCTGTGAGACCTGTCCGCCCTGATCATAGCACAAAAACACACATTTTACAAATAGCATTAAGTCAATGATAACATCCACAGACGTGAGTGTTTCCCACACTTACCCGCGCGACATCCCTCCTGTGTCTCTGCTCTGCTCCAGATGCAGACCGGAGCTATCAACCGCTAACGTTAGCTGCAACAGTTAACAGCTACTAAAACAAACGGACTTTTCAGGAATACACAAAAGCTCCAATGACCTACGCTGAATTAAATGTGTGTTGATTATTGAACTAACAGAACCAGTTAAGGAACTTGTGGCGCTGTATCAGCAGACATTTACCCGGGACTGAAAACCAGTGGTCTGTTCAAGAGCACCACGGCCACAGAGCTGCACACACTCCCCGGAAACGATCCATGTGAGTGACGGTTTCAACCGTCGCTAACGGCTAACGGCTGCCGTTGAGCAGACGTTGGCTGGTTACTCTGCCTTCAACAGGCTCCCCTCCGACATTAACATGAACATATCTGTTTAAAAACATAAACAGTCTCGATCAAACATCCTTAAACTTTGCTCTAACTCTCGTGTAAAGACATTAGTTCAGCATTAAACATTAAAACTAACGTTAAATTAACTTCTTCACATCACTGGTGGGTCAGTTATTTATGCTAGGCTATATGCTATAGGCTAATCACCAATATAATTACGGAGAGTACTAACGTTACCTAACTTGTGTTAAATTAATACCATAAAATACAAACATTAACCTATGATAGGTTATTGTTGGTACTTTCATATAAAGTCTAATTTTATATCGATATTTTACCACATTCTCATAAATGGTAATACTCACAAATTATTATCACAACATTGTGTCGAAAATAACAACAAAGTCATGGCAGTTTTAATCTGATCAATGTAAGCATTATTTTATTTATTTCACATTGATTCTGGTTTGTCTCCGGCAATATGTTCCTTAAAGGACGGTGTTATTTTGGCACATGTAACGTTAGGTCCTGAGTGAGTGGCTATGTTTGGTGTCACAATTCATAACGTTAATTTTTCCCGGCAGTGTGTGTGTGTGTGTTATGTGTGGTGTGTGTGTGGTGGTGTTGTGTTATGTGGTGTGTGTTTGTGTGGTTCATTGATGTGTGTGTGTCTTTATGAGGTCACAGATGGTAAGTTGTACAGTCTCGTTCACTTTGCCTGTTCCAACCGTTTCAACGTGCTCCCTGTTCTCTTCAGCAGTGTTGCTAAGCAACTGTTGGTCCTTCACACTTACCTCGTACAGTTACTTAAACCGCCTTCTTTCCAGCGCGTTAACGGCCCTTTCCATGTCAGAGAAAATAACATATTTTGAATGTTTATTGTTGACACAGCGTTTGAATCTTACTGTCACATTAAAGCTGCGATCTTTATCCAAAACTACTAAAACTCTGTTGGCCATATAATGGTTGTGTGACTGTGGTTAACTTACACACAGTTCTGTTTGTTTGTATCTATGAAGCAGCCTTGACTTGAGCATTTTCATACATTAAATTCTATCAATGAGTCCATCACTCTGATCGTGTGTGTGTTCCTCGTTTTGCCCACTAAGTGGGGCAGTTGTGCAGTAATGCAGATGGTGAGCTGTTGTCTTCCCCCAGGTGAACAGGTGTGGTGTTAGGATCAGTAATTGATCCTTTGATCACTTTGTACAATTAAAATGAGTCTGCTGGTTAAGGTGACCACCGCTGGCAGTGATGTGTTTATGAAAGTGAGTGTGTGCAAAGATAAACTTGTATCTGCCTCTTTTCTGATCATGGCCTTGCTTTGTTGTTGTGATTGATTTATTACATATTTTCTTGAGAACCAATTTGTTATGCTGCTATATAAAGTTATAATCTGAATTTTATCACACAACCCTAAACACATACAACTTAGTGGAGAAAAATATAATTATAAACCTGTGGTGATTTTGTCTGTTCTCCCGCAAAAAGTTCTCTCTCACAAATTGTTCATTTTTATAGTGGTTATTGATCCTGATTAACATTATTCCATGTGATATGGGTGATTGCTGTTTTAATGTCTGTACACACATTCACTCTGCCCAGTATAACCACAGCTGGGGGTTAAGGGTCTTGCTCTAGGTCACCTCAGTGGTGAGGGCTCTTTCATTTTCACCATTCAAGCCTACTTCCCTCACCTTTAGCCCACCACTGCCACTAAATGTACTCTACTCTTCTCTTATTTGCTTCAGACACTGGTAAGGAAAGTAATAAATCACCTGTACAATATCACTTAATCCAATTCAATGTCCATAAATTACATTTTTGAATGCAAAAATATTGTTGATCCACATTAGTGATATCATTTGAGGGCATAGGCTGTAGCGTTCCTGTGGATAACATTATATTCACCTTTTATCCACACTCAGATATAATGTAACTATGATATGTCATGGTTCAAATTGATGTGTGATAGATTATTTCTTGTGACTTTGAAGTGTTTGAGCTGTAAGACTAATGAAAGATATTAATAACATGATATGTTCAGAGCTGAAGTGTGAAAGGTCAGTGTGTTGGTGTAATGAACAAGTTTGGTGCCTAAAGGACTTTGAGCAATAGTGTGTTCATCCTCCATAGTCTAGTAGTACGTTGCCTCCCTCAAGCTGCACAATAATCACCCTCCTGCTTCGTCTGATCGGTAACTTTATTCAAATCTCTCAGAAGTTAATATTGTACTAATATTGTAGTGCCCAGACACAGTTTACCAAAACAGAGAGGTGTGTGCTTTTCAATTAAGGTACAAAAATGATGCAGTAGTGATTCCATATAAAACAAAAACACAAAACATGTTCACTGATGTACAGTACGTGTAACGCATGCACACAGTCGTAGTACTATCACCGTGCCAAAAGAGGATGCAACTCTCACACACAGTCATCAAAGTGTCAAACTGCTGCTCTCTTGTACACAAAAGTAACAACACGGTTACCTGTTGGGTGTGTATTTGTTTATTTTGGGTTCAGTAATCCCACTGTGCTTTGTTAGCAGCAAACACGGATGAATACAGTCGACACATTTGGTAACACACACACTAACACACTGTATACCAAACTATCAGAACGACCCATACATTAAGGGGGATGTGATTGGCCGTGTTGTTGCTAAGAAAAGCTGCAGTAATGTCCACTGGGCAGCGATCAGACAGGATTTAATCAAGTACAGAATCATCCAAAATCTTATTTGGAAGTGAAAAAAAGGTAGGAAGTGGTTTCAATAAGTAAGTATTCAGATCTTTTGTATTCTTTTGTTACATATATTATAGAATTATCACTGATGCAATAATGTTTGAGCAGCACTTGTTGTTGTTGGTCAAGGTGGAACTAACTACTTTATACTGTTTAATCTGCAAAACCCCAATCTTATAAAGACATATCTGTCTGTAACCAAGTCATAAAACCTTATTTAAATAGGGAATATGTTTTTTGTTTCCACTACACTGGCAGATTATTTTAATTTTTATAAGAAAACTAACATTTACGGACTCAATTCTAAACTAAAATTACTCGGCAAGAGGGAGATATGTTGTTACTGAACAATGCAATGTTGTACTAGTTTCAGATTTGTCATGGTCCTTCAGTGGAGGACTGTAGGCCTTAGTAATGAAATTCACATAGTACGCTTGACTAACAGTTGTTGAAGACAAGTTTCATCCCAAGATCAATTTACTAAAACTATATCTTCACCTCCATTGAGATGTCTGATTTTGATAAAAACAAATCCACTTATGGCTTAATACACTCCTCTAAACCTACCGTGTAGATTAATAGTCTATAGCAGCCATCCTGTACGTCATCATTCAGATGTTTGACTTTTTATAACATCCAACATTTACAAGCTGCTCACTGATAACATAATTACAAACATTACATTATGTTTCTGTTATGCACACATGTTTAATGGCTCATTCAAGAGAACATATAAATGTTTTGACAGCTGTTTGATTTATTAACACAGTTTCTATGTACGTACACACACACAGGCTAGAATGTTTTGCTTCGGTTGGTATCAGCCCACTATGATGCTGCTGCTGGCAGCGTGACCTGACAGTCTTTAACATCAACCTCTCTGTTTACAGGATCAGTCAGGGAATAACAGCTCGACACGCAGGGTTACAGTTTCAGAAAGCAAATGGTGAACGAGGAGGGTCAGAGCTTGCCAGAGGAATTACCTATTAATGATTTAGAGGTAGAAGAATTTCCCTGTTAGTGTATTTGGTGTAATGTAAAAGCATTTGATACAGTATCCTGTGAATTTAAAACTTTGAACAAAAGCAACAGACGTTTTTTAAGGAGGAAAATCGGAACATACTATGTTCAGGAACTGGAAGAGAAGTTTCTTTAATATCGAATGTACAACAAGACAAGTATTATATATAAATGAAAAAATGAAAATAAAATGCAGGGACATCAGATGTACAAGTATATCACTCATCACTGCCAACCTCAAGCACCATAGATCATCAACTTCATTTCCAAGGCAGAGAGGCACTTCATGGTTTACATTGATCACATTACAGTACGTACTCTTATTGCAAAGCTGCAACTGTATATTTACAGTCGTTACACACAGTATTTCCAATATAACATTCACTTTTTTAGCATGTATCATAAAACAAAACTAATCAATATCATTGTCAGCTATTTACAGGCTAAAATAATCTTCAGACAAACATTTGGAGCACGTTTCCAGTTAACAACACAGAAAACAAAACCACAGTCCACAGAACAAACAGCTTCATGGAGCATCTTTTAACAGCAGTGCATCATCTACAAATGCATTTAGACACTTTGGCATAATTACCATAAACAAATGAGACCAGAGTTGTGAGCCATGTTATATATTACTGTTACTATTATTTTTTATCTTTTTCATCTTTGTTTTTTTTTGTTTGTCTTTATTGAAGAAAAAGACATTAGATTTGATGTGATTCTCTTTTATCACTTTTGTCACTGCTTAAACTTAAACTTAGCAAGTAAGTAGTAAGTAAAGTGAACTTAATGTACTTTATAATGACAATTACGCAGTGAAGTTTACGAGACTGATGCTGCACAGGAATCCATCTGCATCTGTGCCAGAAGTGCTGCAGTTTCCCTGTAAATTGTGAAGAGTGTAAAAACAGTGTAAAGCCAGTAGAGGCTGCCAGTCATCTCAGTTTTTCTTTAGCATATCATATCGATGCGACAAAAGCGTATAGGCCTAATGTTAATTGTGTACTGGGGCCATATGGGCACCCGGTTAGCTCAGTCGGTAGAGCTGGCGATCCATATACGGAGTTGCTGCAGCGGCCCAGGTTTGAATCCTGCGGCCCTTTGCTGCATGTCATCCCCTCTCTCTCTACCCATCTTTCCTGTCTACCCTTCAGCTGTCACTATCCAATAAAGCCAATGAAAAAGGCAAGAAAATAAAAATGCAAACACGGCATTGTTGAGACTACTTTTCTAAAAGTGAACTTTTTCATTGGGTTTTCTTGACGTCAACCCCTGTTTCAAAGCACTGCTCAACCCAGAGGTTATTATGTTTGTGTGAATTCAGATCTATTTTGTATTAAAATAAGATCAGTGAGACAGAGAAAACTGAGGGCTCTATCTTCCTGCATGCTTAAAGCAAGTGTCGGGGGAATTTTCCTCAGGTGCAAGTCTAATTTTTTAAGTCTGGTTTGGTAATGTCCTGGCACCAAATGAACATGTTCACACTGAGATGGCTGCAGCAGAGGCATTAGTACAATTTTGGTTTTCATTTTGGCACAACATTGCTTTTGCATTAAAACCTGCTCAGACCACCTCTGCAGATGCAGGGTGATTTTTGTGGTTTAAGCTGGCAGAAACTGCAGTATTGATTAGGAAGAATTAAGAGTTAAGAGTTAATTATGTATAAAGTATATGTGTATAAACAGCAAAAAGACCAAGGATAGACCCCTGTGGCAGATGGAGATGGCTTGACTGAGTATCATCAGCAACAGTAGTCTGAGTTCTCTCTGCGACGTCAGAGTGGAACCAGTGAAGCATGGCTTCATCTCAACCTTCAGACTGTAGTTTGTGGAACCCATATTTGAGCAGCTGCTTCACCGATAAACATCAGTCTTCTGTTCATTCTGCCATTGACATATTTAGATTGATGTATATTAATATGTTTTGTATTTGGTTTACTTTGGACCTCAGCCTCTCTCTTTGTTCCACCTGCTGCTGCTCTTAAAAGGAATAAAAGGATTTCATTAGATGATTCTGCATTTCTGCAACTAAAAATGTATTCAGCCTGTTTTCCACATTGCAACAAACTGCATCCTGTTGCTCCTGTGGTCACCAGAATTGCAAAAATTTGTGTTTGCACCTGGAGATTACGCTTGTGTTTACACACTTTTTCAGGAAAATAGAGCCCTATGTTTAGATGTACACAGGAAGACAATATTGTATTTATTTTTTATTTTTAAACAGTATGATGTCTTTGCATAAAGGAAATATAAAACACATATTTTGAATAAATCCACCCTCACATGCTCTTTACTCCATTGCATATAAATGGAATAAAGATAATTTTCACTGCACCTTAAAGATGCTCCTATTTCTTGTGAACTCTGTACATTTGGTAACACGTTCATGTCGTTCCTCGCTATCTCTCCGAGAACAGACCTGGGACGTCCAGGCAAAATTTTTACATATTTTAACCTTAACTGTCTCCATTGCAGGCATGCTCCCTTCCTGCCACACCCTCAAGTGGAACAATTTGGAAATCCCTGCTGTACTGAAACACATAGATTTCTGCAATGGTACATGAGGAGCTCTCATGTTTATGAGCTCTTAACTCAAAAGAGGTGTGATCACTCACTCACCCTGTTCAGACATCTGAATAGTTAACTCCTGCCTCACAGAAAACTGTCCTCATTGGCGACAAAAGAGAACCCATTGAAGGCGTTGTTGGAGCTGGTGCTGGCGTTGAGCTCCGGGGTCCGACTCACCGAGTTAGGAACCATTTCCCTGGTGAACTCTGGATCAATATGCTGAGTGTCAGCTGGGCCTCTCTGAAAGGAAGTGGAAGTGATAGCGTATACATGAACATTTTATTTTTATTGCACCTTTATGACAAACATCATAAGAGGGGAGGGATGATTTGAGGTCTTAAAAAACCTGAAGAAGAATCAAAAAACATGAGTGAACAATAAGAAGCCTCATAAAGAGGTTGGAATGGTGAACTGTTCTCATTCATTTATCATACCAATTTTAAAAGAGGATAAAGGGATTTAAGAAAATATGTAAAGTGATTAAGATTTAGAAAATAATATAGGAAGGGGTTTTGTTGGCTGATGCCGCTGGAAATTGTGTTGAAGGTAAAAGACTGTAGAGGAGACATTTGAGAAGGTAAACAGAGAGTGCAGGAACTGACTTAAAAGACCTAAAAAGACAAAAGCAGTTAGAGCTCACAGCCTGAAACAACTCACCACATTGGGGTTGTAAGGAGGAGTTATTCTCTTGTGGTAAAGGTCGTCCCAGTTGATTGGAGAGAAAAAGATGTGGTTCTTTATTTCTAACTGTAAAAAAATAAATAAAAGTTATATATGTATATGTGTAAAGTATTTAGTTATACTGACATTTTCTGTTCCTTCAATTAAGAATTCAGACACACTTATGAGGAGAAACTGTCACTCCAATAGACGTTCAATTATGATGCTGTTTTAAACAATGAGAAAGAAGTATGAAGGTAATCTTTTTTCTTTTTTTTTTATTCTCTGAGGGACTGGGTACAGATCTGTTCTCAGAAAAGGTCCCAAACCCCTTTAAATATGTTTTTAGGGGATAGTTTCCCCAACACGGAATAAGCCGAATGCTCGACTAAAGCAAAATTTCATGGAGAAGTCCTTTGAAAAACATCCTTCGTCTAAGACTAGGCTTATTTCTTGTCTGGGAACCATCTGTTTCATAGTGCAGCAACATTTGAAAAACATTGTTTCTAACATAACACACTCACAAAGTCAGCGATGGCCCCGAGGCGTCTGTGCTGGTCCTTCTGCAGGAGACCCACCAGCAGAGCGCTGACGGCCTCAGACTTTCCAGGAGGGAGCGGCAGCGGCTTTTGGAGGATCCCCTCATACATTTCACCGACGTCACGGCTGTAGAAAGGAGGCTGAACCGGAGAGATGGGTATAGACATCATTAGTATAAAATCACACAATGCCATTATATAAAACAGTGGTGGACTAAGGCTGTTGGAGCATTGCATTTATGGTGAAATAGCTTAGTCAGGGTCAGGATGAGGACGCTAGAGCAGGGGTTTCTCAATCAAGGATCACGGCCAACTCTATGTTCCCCTGTTGTTCCAACTTCAAATGTTTCAAATATTCCTCCTTTTGCTGTGGACCCTTAAAACCTGCTCAAGGACCCTTGTTGGTCCCCTGACCTAGCCCTAGAGGACACTGTCTCAACTGTAAGGGCACCTTAGAGAGCACTTTATCAGGTTTTGTCTACCATAGGAGCATCCAAGCATCCGAACATTGGTAAAATTGGGGCAAATTGGATAACTGACTGACCAACAGGCCGACACTGTATCCACAGAGCTACGCGCCTTACATTCCTACTGAGGGCCAAATCTCTATTACAATTTGATGTGAATATTCATGATCCCAAGTGGATAAACAAAAGTCCCTCTTCAGTCAAAAATATGTTTTTCTTCTTGCAGAATTATATATGTGCAGAGTTTGAATCTAAAAGGATCCAGCATGCAACTTGTACAATGTGATGTANCAGTGCACATCCACTGAGAATAGACTTTACAGTGAAGTAGGAGACATCTTGTGTCCACCAGGGACACAGAAATGAACAAGATTTAGCATATTAACAGATTTCTAATGTTGAATTTTTAATGTTGAAATTATACAGTTTTGGAAAAAACATATTAGACTGTTCAAGCAGAGTATTGTATGTCTTAATATGTGTCTGGAGGGGATCTTTAATATTTTAGTGACTGAATTTTTCTCTTGCATCGCCATCATCCAAAAGTTTCTGAGCACATTCATGATCCCTAGAGGAGGAACTCTTTCTATTCTGGACACTACATGCGATTTGCTTTAGCACCACCCTCAGGTGCAGACATTGACCTTACACATGAAATTTACTGTATTGTAGTCTAACATGAAGACACTTCCCAAAGTGGTATGTACAAATTAGCCACACACAAGCACACATACCAGGCTGTAGATCATCTCATAGAGCACTGCTCCCAGACACCACCAGTCCACTGTCCTGTCATATGCTTCCTTACGAAGAACCTCTGGTGCCAAGTACTGCAGACAGAAAGACAGACAGAGAAGAGAGAAAATGTTGAGAATGGTGGAATTAGAGAAAAAATGGTTAAATCCTCTTTCTAAAACGTGGTTAGTTAACATTTCTTCAGTAATAAAATGTAACATTGATGTCACTGTTGAGTTCTCACCTGTTAATTAGAAGTAAAAAACCCTCTAAAACCTAATAATGTATCATATACAGTATGTTGTATGATAAGTCATATCATTTGTTATTATGTTTTACTCACTTCTGGAGTACCACAGAAAGTTGAGGTGGTTCCCTCTGGCTCTACGCCTTCTTTGCACAGCCCAAAATCGGTCAACACCACATGGCCCTGCCCATACAAAACACAAGCAGGGACTTGTATTTCAGTTATACAAGTAGAATTACAAATACTACAATAAAGACTAAAACATTTTGAGTAGTTGCAACAAATGTGTCGAATCGGACTTACCTGAGAGTCTAAGAGAATATTCTCTGGCTTCAGGTCTCTGTAAAAGACAGGAATGAGCAGATTATCAAGATAGAAGGTTAAAACTGAACTGAAGTGAATTTACTGTTTTGTGTTGTGCAGTACACAGCCCAATAATCTACGGTATCGGTGTAATATATAATGATTCCGGCCAACTCAGGAGGGAGTTTTAACAAATAGAAGTGTGAGTTTGAGTCTGTTGGTCTGACCTGTAAACAATGTTGAGAGAGTGAAGATAGCCGATAGCACTCGCTACCTCGGCTGTGTAGAACCTCGCTCTGGGCTCTGAAAAACACCTCTCTCTTTGCAGGTGAAAGAACAACTACAGAGAGACAGACAGAGAGAGAAAGATGAGTGGATGGATGGAAGAAATAAGTGTTTTGAGAAATGAGTTTTTAGAAGAGGACAGAGACTTGAGGGATAAAGAGACAGGAAGAGGATGAAACCCAGGGAAGTAAGGGGAGAGATTCTTAGAGAGATCAATTTAAAAAACTACTTTGAACCAGGGTCTGGGCTGCAGGTTTGATATGCATAAATAAAGGATTACTTATCAGGACATTGTTGTGTCCCAGCTGAACAGCAAAGAAACAAAATGTACATTAAGAGCATATACTGTCCCGTTCATTGACACTGTGTACTGTTTGACATTAATAGCCTTAGTTAACATTAACAACCCTGTTAATTACTACAAAAGCTGGCCTGGTTCTATCCAATATTAGTCACAGTTATGTACAATTATACAGATATACAAGTGAGACCATGAGTGTGATCATTAGTAGCACACTTCTGATGACAATAGTATTGCTGATAATGATGTTTTTGTAAGATATAAATGACATAAACATAAAGCTTTATGTCTACCAGGATGTTACTAATTGATCTCTGTGCAGCTGCAGCAGAGGAGACACACATATCTTAAAGTCTACAAAGTCTCAGTTATGTTGACAATGGCCTTTATTATAGGAAACATCTACTATCTGAAAATCAACATGGTTAACACAACCATGCACCTTTAATTAAGCCAATAAAGCTGTCCATGCTGAGATTCAGCTGAGTTCAGAAAGGAATTTCCACCAAAGCAGCCAGTACATCATCTTTAACTTTATGCCATAAAACATGTATTCTATGTTTATTTATTCACTTATTTACTTTAAGACACATACCTCTCCCCCATTCACGTAGTCAAGGACAAAGTAGAGCTTCTCTGGGGTCTGGAAGGAGTAGTGGAGCCGAACCAGAAACGGATGTTTCAGACTCTTCAATAGCACGTTTCTCTCCGCCATTATGTTTTTTTGCTGAAGAAAGTAAAGTAAAAAATAAGTTGGAAACGTAGGTAGGTTGTGGTCTGTTTGGATGGCTAGACAACTTGCACACAAACACAGAAACACCTTTTTTGGTGTCTTGTACTTTCTGATGTTTTTACTAAAAGACCCTAAATAAGACATGATTGTTTATTTTTAGTGAAGTTACTGTACACACATGCTTCTGGACAAAAAACTATACTACATATATATTTATGAAATAAGAAGAACGCACACTTAGTGATGCTGAACAACAGCCCACGCAAGAAGAAGTTAACAAGATGAAGCTACAACCAGAGAGGCGTAGTGAGAGGGAGGTGATGATGAAAAAAAAGATGTTTAAGAGGAAGAGAGGAGTCAAAGGGAAATGAGAGGAGTGTATAATTGCTTAAATGGTGTTTTAGATCCTCTTCCTCCCAAATGAGACCAAATGTTTGAGGGGAAAAACTGACTCTTTAATTAAAGTAATAATTAGCCAGTGAGCGAGGAACAAACTCCATAGACAGCTACACCCACAGTGACTCAGTCAGCAAACATTAATGAGGGAAAGGTCACAATACTCCTTTTCTTGGACTTTTCCTAGAAGTTTACACTGAAGTTTCAGAAAGTTGAAGAACACAATGAAACAAACTCTTTTCTAAGCACCACGTAACACTTCCACTTAAGCAGAGGCAAATACTCCAAATGAAAGCCGGACAAATCGTGTTTGATCAGATAGTCTCATTGTGTTGTCGGACAAACACAGAAGTGGCTCAGTTTATTTTCTGGGAGCTGTAAAATCTGTCCTTTGTACAGAACAAGCTGTAGATTAGATAAGATTCAGATCGTGTTGCTGGGCCAAAACACTGTTTACTAATAACACTCAAAGATACTCACACACATTTTCCTCTTGGCTCGCTTGGAGATATTTTCCACCTTCATCTACTTCAGCAGAGTGCTGTGTAGTTATACATAATATTTACATCAATGTATTTTGATTTCCTGATCAAGATCTCTCTAAAAATGAAGTCTGCTGAATCTCTTTTTCACTCCGTCACATATCATATGAAGGGTTTGTAGTGCATCAGTTCATATTTTATATATCTTAAGTCAATAAAGTACAGCTTATCTTATATGTTTAAAGGCAGCATTATTTATATTATTTATACATATTTTTAAGAATATTTTGCTGCAGGGAAATAAATAAAAAGTTTATATTTTGATCCAGATTGTAGAGTTAAAAGCAGTGCGTCTCTGAAAATCAAAACTCTCTTTTATCATGTTTAAGATGAAGGTTTTAAGCATTTGGTGCAGATGAGTTGATGATGGAAGAAAAATGATGAAGATAGAAAGGAACAGCTGTCATTAAAAATGGATAAGCCAGAACTTTAACAGTGGGACAGCAGAGCCCACCTCTTTTTTCTTCAGGATGACTTTCTTCTGCAGCACTTTGACGGCGTAGAATTTGTTGTCGGCTTTGAGCTTGGCGAGCAGCACCTGCATGAAGGTTTGTTTGTTAGCGGCCTGTTTGGTAAACACAATCTGTGCCAGCATCTCTAACACAACGCTGTCAGGACATTACATCAAACCCCTCTGAGAACACAACATAGATATGTGATCTGTGGAAACAGATGATACTGAGGAATCTGAGAAGTGTGTTGATACAAAGAAAAAAAAAAGATCTGACATCAGCCTGCGGCCATAAAAACATTATTATTACTTTTATGTAGAAATACCTGCAGAGACAGGAAGGTAATCATTAAGAGTTTAGTGTATTCTTTATGTGAAACACTCCTCTGCTGCTGTTTTATTTCTAGTATTTTGCTGTTCCATTGACTGGATGATGTTGAGGTAACCTTAAGAGGCCTCAGCAGACTGTAAAGTTAATGATTCATGAAGCAGGCAGCACATTTTGATCAGACAGCAGTCAGCAGGTAGACTCTCTCTGACCCGCTCTGCAATGTCAGCAACAGCTCACTATCTTCCTTTCTTATTCTCTCTCTTCTGTCTGACAAGGTCAGTGTGATAAAGTTGCCACAGCTAGCTGGATCCACGGACACTGACTGTTAATCTATACGACCCACCATTAATTCCTCTACTCTATTAGATTTATTATTCTTTAACAGCACCCCAGGTCGCCCAGTCCAGTTAAAACTACTTTCACTGAGTGGTCCCTGCTGGTGAATATGTGACCTGAATGAGTTACAATAAGGAAACTGATGAAAGAAAAACACAAGATTATATTCAACAATAAAGAGATAGATAAATAAGTAATTGTTTCAGTGTTACCTTTCCAAAGGTGCCCTTGCCAATGACAGCCAAAAAGTCAAAGTCAGTGGGTCTGGCACTGAAACAAGACAGAGAGGACTCTATTAATGCATTGTACTGTTTGGCAGACAAAGTTATGCAACAACCTCTGAAGCACTTTATTTATAATAGCTCACAAAAGCTGCCTGCAGTAATATGTTAAAACTGGTCTGTCTCATCAAGAATCTGCATTCTGAATACAGAATTTAGCACATAAATCATTAAAAAAGCTGTTTGTAGGATTTTTACTGAATTTAATCACAGATCCAGGCCACTGAAAATACACTATAAGCTCTGTCTTAGCATAAGAATCCCTGTGTCTGTAACATCAAAGAGATCTACACGTTACTGACTGTGGGTTTGCTGAAGGTCCCAAGTTGACGTCATCATGAGGAGAGGAGGATGGTGACCGCTGCTCGAGGACAAATAAAAAAAAAAAAAACCACAATTACAATTCATTAGCGTAAATAAACACATACATCATAAATAACTGACTAACCAATTTAAATCACTTTTATTCACTTTCACAATTCAACATCAGCATCAGACAGTGTCCATCACAGTAAAGCTGATAAGTCGAGGTGAGAATAACCAAATAGGCACCACACTCGCCATTAAAAGCCACGGTCATTTAATTAGAACATATTCAACATTTTTATTTGGAGACAAAATAGTCTCCGCAAACTAGTAACACAGGAGCTTTTGGCAACAAAAAGCAAAGAATATTCAGCCTGAAGATAAAAACTTGAGGATCTGAGTCACATTGCATAATGACTGTGTAGTTACAGAACCTCTCACTGTTAGAGATCATGTGTCTGATATGTTTAATGCATTCCAGGGAAAAGCTGCAGTGGAGATACTGTGACGTGATGACCTGAAATCATTTCGGGTAAACTACAGTCCAACGCAGACAACCACATCCTGGATGCATTGCTAATAATAGTTTTTAAACGGGGCTGTAGGCAGATCGACTGTCACATGGTTATACAGGCCCACAGTGAAATACAGAAGAAGCATCAGGCAGACCTAAAAGAGTGATTATCTGAGTACTGAGACTGAAATGCACTCACATTACAGTGTGCCGTGGCCATTATCCATTCCACTCCCACTGGAGATCCAGCATCAGCGTGTGACAGACCTGCGAGAGGAGAGGAGGTATTGAGGGGCCAGCAGCTGTGCAGGATGCAACAGTTTGAGATTCAAACCATCGACCTTTATCCTTTCAACCTTCTCACATTTCACAGATAAGATTTCTTCACATGAGCCCGGACTCAGAAGAAGCTTCCGCTGTGTGTGTGTGTTTGTATTTAACTGCTGACCTCAGTGTGACAACCTGCCTGAGGATCCAGAGGAGCTGGTAGTTCTGGTTTATAAGGAGCAAGATGCTGGAGCAACAGAAACACAATGAAGGACATTGTGTATATACTGTGTGTGTGTGTGTGTGTGTGTGTGTGTGTGTGTGTGTGTCCTCTGACCGTCCACGTCGTAGACCTGGAACAGGAACTTGAGTTTGTCGGTCTCGTTGCCGTGGATCAGGAGGTCGAGAGCTTTCAGCAGCTCGTCCAGACTGATGGAGCTGCTGCCGTCGGAGTCGAACAGAGCAAAGAACCGCTCTGCAAAGAAAGACTGTACGCAACCACGACAACAACAACAACAACAACAACAACAACAACCACAATAACTCTGATATTGAATATTTGCTAGATAAAATAATCCCCCAAAAAAGGTGATATTATTATTATATTCCAGATGTTGTGTCTCATATTAAACACAGAAATATTTGAATGATTCAATATTACAGTATATCTATATATATATATATATTATATATATATATCTATATATATATATAGATATATATATATATAGAGCTAACTACCAGTGACGGTAG